CTGCGAGAGGGAGGCGAGGTGGCCGGCAGCCAGCGTCCCAGGAGCCAAGGTGGCATTTCCCGAGGCAAACGGGGGCTCCGCCAGGGGGCCAGGGCCTTCACCTCTGGGACCGTCTTCTGCCCCTTTCCTGGGGGCACCATCTATATGCAGGTAAGGGGTGTCCCGGGCAGCCTCTGCCAGGGGCCCAGAGGGCAGGAGCCTCTCCGGGTCGGGAACAGCCTGGGCCGCGGGAGTGTCCACGGTGCTGGCAGAGATAGTGCCCACCTGGGCCATGGGAGTGCCCACCTGGGCCGCGGGAGTGTCCACGGTGCTGGCAGAGATAGTGCCCACCTGGGCCATGGGAGTGCCCACCTGGGCCGCGGGAGTGTCCACGGTGCTGGCAGAGATAGTGCCCACCTGGGCCATGGGAGTGCCCACCTGGGCCGCGGGAGTGTCCACGGTGCTGGCAGAGATAGTGCCCACCTGGGCCATGGGAGTGCCCACCTGGGCCGCGGGAGTGTCCACGGTGCTGGCAGAGATAGTGCCCACCTGGGCCATGGGAGTGCCCACCTGGGCCGCGGGAGTGTCCACGGTGCTGGCAGAGATAGTGCCCACCTGGGCCATGGGAGTGCCCACCTGGGCCGCGGGAGTGTCCACGGTGCTGGCAGAGATAGTGCCCACCTGGGCCATGGGAGTGCCCACCTGGGCCGCGGGAGTGTCCACGGTGCTGGCAGAGATAGTGCCCACCTGGGCCATGGGAGTGCCCACCTGGGCCGCGGGAGTGTCCACGGTGCTGGCAGAGATAGTGCCCACCTGGGCCATGGGAGTGCCCACCTGGGCCGCGGGAGTGTCCACGGTGCTGGCAGAGATAGTGCCCACCTGGGCCATGGGAGTGCCCACCTGGGCCGCGGGAGTGTCCACGGTGCTGGCAGAGATAGTGCCCACCTGGGCCATGGGAGTGCCCACCTGGGCCGCGGGAGTGTCCACGGTGCTGGCAGAGATAGTGCCCACCTGGGCCATGGGAGTGCCCACCTGGGCCGCGGGAGTGTCCACGGTGCTGGCAGAGATAGTGCCCACCTGGGCCATGGGAGTGCCCACCTGGGCCGCGGGAGTGTCCACGGTGCTGGCAGAGATAGTGCCCACCTGGGCCATGGGAGTGCCCACCTGGGCCGCGGGAGTGTCCACGGTGCTGGCAGAGATAGTGCCCACCTGGGCCATGGGAGTGCCCACCTGGGCCGCGGGAGTGTCCACGGTGCTGGCAGAGATAGTGCCCACCTGGGCCATGGGAGTGCCCACCTGGGCCGCGGGAGTGTCCACGGTGCTGGCAGAGATAGTGCCCACCTGGGCCATGGGAGTGCCCACCTGGGAGGTCACCTGCAGCCTCTTCCCTCTGGGACTGGACACCCCGGGGCCGGCCAGCCTCCCCGCCCAGCGCTGCCTCCATCCGCCCTCCGGGAGGTGCTGGCGAAAGTCCTGGCGCCTGATCCCTGGACGCGAAGGAGGCTAACTCCGGTCCCTCTTCCTTCAGGGCTCCCTCTCCTCCAGCGGGGGGGCCAGAGGCAGCCACCGTGCACTGGGCAGGGC